AATGGAGAATATTTCAATTCTGTATCTGTGAAAATATGTTCTTCTCTCATCACATTATTTATGAGAGCTACTCTTGTCCTCTCTGCAAGGATCAAGAAAAATGGTTTTACGTGGGCACATATAAAAACTTTATGAGCTACAGATACCAGTTAAAATCCTAAACATACATAAGTAGTAGTATAGCCTTTATTATCATTGTACATCATCTATACAATAAAATTGGTTAAGATGGTTCAGGCTTCTCTATAACCAATACCGGTATATGTAAATTAAAATCTAAGGAGGAATAAATCATACAAGCTTTGCATGAGCACTCAGCTTTTTTTCCACTTCACCTGGATAAAATGTAATGATATAGACAGATTAATGTCATTAACTTAATAACAGATTTTATATATCATTATATTAGCTGTGGCTCTAAATTTTGAAAACAGTTCTCTCCAGTCTCAATTTGCATAATAGTAAAACTGATTCAGAGGTGGGTCAGCTAGATACATTTTAATTTCAAAATACATGATGGCCACAGCTAAGAATTTAAAGTCTATACAACAACAGTAATGTAAAAGTACTGATTTTTAGCTGCCACCATGTGCAAAGTAAGCTTTTCAGAGGCACCGACTATTGTGAATCTCAATTACACCAAAAACCAGATGTGATTACTAATAACAATAGGTTTACCAAACTCTATTTCATTTTAATGAAATCCAAATTCAAATTCTTGCTGAAAGTGCCTGGAATATGTTGCATCCTCATGCCTGTCACTTAATCTGATGTGAATGTTTATATATTGTGCACTTGGTTCTGAAACAGCTACAAATTCCAAATCTATTTCTAAAATGGTCAGTTTGCCGGAAAAACCAACTTGGATAAGTGTCAAAGCCTGGAGTCTTTTAGAAACATAAGAATAATGTATATGTATGTCTTAAGCTTTTGACTTTGAAATTGTTTTCTGAACTCAGTTTATTGTTAAATCAAGAATAATGATGGAATTCACTCATTATGCTAAACCATGATTTAATGAAAACATCATAATGGTTAGGATCATACGGAATGTTAAAACATAAATTGTGATTCCTTAAATGAGTTCACACAACACACTATGGCAAAATTAAGCAAGTCTCTTTGTGTTCAACATGACATATGAAGCCAGCTTTCCCTCTTAATGATGAAATTAACTTTTTTCCTTAGGGCTCGGATTTATTTCTTCACTGGGTTTCTACATTCTACAAATACATTCTACAAATGAATTTAAGAGTACATTTTAATTTTTCTTGTGTTTAGAAATAAGTAATAAAACTCTAATTTACCTTCTTACTTTCATGTGGTATACAAAAAGTCAGAAGTAGACTGATTTAATTTTGTAACATAAAAGAATTTTTGAAGTCTGAAATATAATTGACACAAAGGAGAGAAGTATGGGGAAGCTTTATAAACTAACTGGATCAAACACAATCAACTATTTTAGTTAATACATCTTTAGGGCTGATTTTGCATAAGGATAACCTTATATCATATGTATTAAACTACTGTCCACTGTATTTTTTTCTGATGTAATCATAGAGAACTTTATACCATATCAGCTTATATCATTTCAGCAGTCCTTAAAATGCTGATTATTAAATCCTACCTGTTTTCTTGCATAAAATACTGAATTTTAATTAATTCCTGCATCCACAATACAATGCATCTATTTATATTTTGTTAAAAGATATCACATCAATTTTAATAAATCACTCCCATTGTTCTAGGAGACTTTCTATTTAAAAAACCTCTGCCACCTGGGAGAGAAAATACTGATGGTGTGGCAACCATTTTGCTGCCAAACAGAATGTCCAATTCTTCTGTTGATCTAGCACCAGGTACACAAACTCAAGATAAATTCTTGAGAGTCTTACTGCAATCCCACTCTTCTTGAGCATATGGTTTATGTAATTTATACAGTCAAAACCGAGGAACCTTGTCTCTACTCTACACATCCAAGATTCATAATACGTAACTGTTTAACTTGCTCATCCACAAGTAAGCTACGGATGATAAATGTCACATTATGGACTAATTGCAGTTAAAACACCAGTACTAAGTGACAAATGGAGTCATTGTATGATCCAGGAGGAGGGCAACCAAGGGCAGAATGACTGAATGCCATGGAGGCAGCTAAGAGGTGGCAGAGACTTGGGAGCAGGCAACTCCAACAAGCGTGGAGTAAGCTAATTGATTCATAAGAGTGTTTGGTTATATTAAAAATAAATGACCACCCCAGGTTTGGCTTGTAGGACAGTACTGGGAAATGACAGGAATTTAGGGAGGAAATTAACCCTTAAGATGAAAAAGTCCAATTTATGTTCCTTTCATATTCTTTCTGCACGTATTTGCTATTCCTCAGATATCTTTCTAATTTTTTTGCATACAAGGTACCAGAGTTCATTAGGAAGTTCTGTTCATTGTTCAGTTTGATTATAACACTGAAATATAGTGGGCAACCTGAGAACAATTTGAAACACATTTGAGACTGGCATTTCTTCTATGGTATTATGGCACTGAAATAAAGTCCCAGGCTGAATTTAGCCACACCTTGCCTACTCATATCTCAGCAGCTCTGAGGATCCTTCTTTTCTATTCCAAGCATCTCCAGTAAAAGGGATGAAAAAGCCATTTCCTTGAGAACCTAAATAATTTTGGGTTACAGGAACATACAGTGTAGCATCCCTGAATGGGAATCAGCCTGGGAAATTTTTTATTTTAAACTAGGAAGTTCTACAGCCTGAAAAAAGGATTCAAAACCCTGATTTAGAAAAAATCAATATATAGAGAAATCAAAGATTTATGGAAACCAAAGGTATGTTGTTAGCATATTCTTTGCAAATTAATACAAGTTAAGTCTGGCAAAGAACAAATTCTTTATGATCAGTCATGCCCAACAAATATCGATTTTGTAACACAAAAACAATTACCTAAGATATATTTTTCAATTATATCAAATTTGGTATGATAACATTTGGTTTAATTGCAAACAGCTGGTGACCTTAAAGAGTTACATATGTGTTCAGGATGAAACATTGAGACTAGATTTGTGTATTTCATGACAGATTTTAAGAAGCATACAAAAATAAACCAAAAAATTGATGAACAGTAGCACTGTCTCTTTTATTATGATGGTAATATATTCAAATAATGAGTTAACCATAGATAATTGGGATATTATTAGCATCTTGATCTCTTTGATTCTGGGTTTAATAATGCCCATTAAAATCTCTCTTGGGGGGAGGGGACTATCTAAAATATGATTATGTCCCAAGGGAGTGAAGGAGAGCATGACTGACTGACTGAATAAGTGGTTTTTCCACTACATATTTGCTTAATAGCTGGTCTCAGTGGAAAAGTCCACTATGCATGCATATATGTACAGAAAGATAGTTGAGAATACCTTTTGAAGCAGCCACATAAAACTTGTAAAATATTATTGCTTTAGTATTTCAATAATAAAGGTTTTGCAAAGCACGTGTTTATATGCTTTGCAAAATATCTCTTTTGAGTTCTTTGCAGTCCTGGTAATGACTGCTACTCATTCATTCGATTACAGAAACAAAGTTACTTAATTTCATATTTTATTATTGTATCTTATTTTACCAAGTTTTCTCTCTGGTAACGCTATACTTCAAACTAGGGCATACAAAACTTTTGCCAGACCTATACTTGAATATTGTTCACCTGCCTGGAACCCTCACTGTATTTCAGACATCAATACATTAGAGAGGGTCCAGAGATATTTTACTAGAAGAGTACAGAAATCCTCTGCTCAAAATAAAATTCTCTATACCATCAGGCTTGAAATTTTAGGCCTCAATAGCAAATTGAGGCCTAAATCTAAAATTTGTTACTACCGGTTCTGTGGGCGTGGCTTGGTGGTGGTGGGGTGTAATGTGACTGGGTGGGCGTGGTTAATTTTTTTTTAAACTTTTAAAACCATTTTTACATGTAAAACCATGTAAAAAAATGCTTTCAAAAGGCTCTGACGATCCCAGCTGAGTTGCCTGATCGTCAGAGGGTTTTTAAAAAACCGTCTGCCATTAGGCAACTCAGCTGGGATCGTCAGAGCTTGGCTCGTGATAGGCAATTAAAAGAAAAAAAGCCTGTGATGATCGCACGGCTCAGCTGGGCATGGGGGGCGGGGGCAGGGATTTTTGCCACCAACAGTTCTCCGAACTGCCCGCCATCGCTACCTTCTCACCCGAGCCGGTCCAAACCGGGAGCATTTCACCCCTGCTCGATAGCCTCGAACTATGCTGTCTACATTCTGACCTAAGCTTAGTTCATAAGATTATTTACCAAAATGTCCTACCTGTAAATGAGTACTTTAATTTCAATCGCAATAACACAAAGGTTATCAATAGATTCAAACTCAATGTAATTCGCTCTAATCTTGATTGTAGAAAATATGACTTCTGCAATGGAGTAGTAAATGTCTGGAACACTCTACCTGATCCTGTTGTTAGTCTCTCTAATCCCCATACCTTTCACCTTAAATTGTCTACCGCGGACCTTTCATGTTTTTTAAGAGGTCCCTAAGGGGGCGTGCATAAGCGCACCAGCGTGCCTACCATCCCTGTCCTACTGTTCCCATTCATATGTACTCATTTTATGTGTTTATGGCTATGTTTTGCTTATTTATTTCCTTTTATTTGTGCCAATTTTTTTTTCATGTGTCCATGTCTATGTCTATACTGTTACTTGTTTCCTTGTACTTGTTGACAAATAAATAAATAAAATAAATAAATAAATAATAAAATGAATATCATGAATTGCTCTGGTTTTTAAGAATTATGCCCTGGTCAAAGGAGAATTTCTATGGTGTACCCATTAAGCCATCATCACAACTGCAATGTAAGTGAAACAATAACATACATTTTTGTAATAACAACACAGAACGGTATTTTTCCTCCCTCTATCTTCCCACAGCTAGCCAAATCCAATATGGAAATATCTGAGACTTGTACACTTACCTAACCACCTCATTAGCGATGTCACGATCTGAAGATATTTAGTTTTCTGCACATTAAAAAAGGTGAAAGGGCCCAAAAGAAGAGTAAATGCTGCCTGGAAGAAAAACAATTGAGAAAAACAATGCCAATTAGGAAAAGCAGCTTCCTGATAGAAATATAAAGAGTTCAGTAAAATACAGGTTTACCAATTATTATTCACTTTAAAAAAGAATACATTTGCTTAGTAAACAATTTACTTATTTTTTTATTAAGGTAGAGGCATAATACTAACAGGCTTCATCACATTGGCTACAGCTGATAGACAGTGCTACACAAGTTTCTCTACCTCAGACTATACCTAGTATCCATTATTAATATTTTTTTTTGCAAATTTCTCCTAGGAAGAAACAAATTTTGGTATTTTTAGTAAGACTCAAATTTATTCTAAAGTGGTTTATTAAATGTATATCGTTAATATTAAAATATGCCATATAGAATACATCGTCAGAAAAAGTGATAAATAGCAAACACAAATTCAGAATACCCATTTATGTAGGTGCAAAAGCAGCCCAATATTTCTTGCACATTTCACTGCTGACTTTAAAGAGGTTGTCATGATTAAAATGATTAATCATTCATTATGTTGTTGTTTTAAAATTGACAGAAATGTGGACAAATCCATTTGGGACTGAAGTCTAAAAGAGACGTTATTTTCACTCTGCTTGACTCAATGAAAATCACCCTTAATTTGTTATTTGTCCTACTGAATACTCATGTTTTGCCACGTAGGATAGAAGAAAGTGAATGTGTGCATGAGCATGCGTTTCATTTTCATTTGAAAATATATCCCAGGTGCAGTCATGTCTCTCCTTGTTAACCAAGGTGTTGAAAAAAAACGATGGGAGATTCAAATTGCACTTTTTTAAAGTATTTAGTTCAGGAACTCATTTCATGGCCATATTTTCAAAAATTGACAGTAGTGATGCATATACAGTATTATCAGAATCAAGACAGTTTTATGAGATTATCAATAACCTGTTTCCACATTTCCTTTCAAGGGACTTCCAAAATGTTCAGAAATATCTCTTAAAGCATATCATAAACATTTTATAAATTCTCTAGATTATTATTATTATATACCCAACAATATGAAATTACAGCTACCAGTTCTTTAACTGGTGTTAGCCTTCATAAGCACTGAGTTCTTCCCAAGAACCTAGGATGTTGTAATGTATCAGGGTGATATATATGCAGATCCAAGTCATGTGGCCTTTTGTAATTAATAGATGGAAATTTTGTCAATGTGCAGATTTACTAAGTGTCATCCAAGGCTTTTTCATATACCATCCATTCCAGTGTACTGATAACCACTGTGACCACAGCCAATTTATGCCATAATCTTTCAAATTTGTGATATTTGTGATACTTGGTGATCTCCAATTCTTTGTCTTCTATTCTACTACCCCTGATATTGTCACATCAATTATCTACATAATAATTATCCATTATTCTTCTTTTCAACCACACTTAAATCTGCTGTTTTATGTGGCAAGACTTTATCGGTTTGTATTTGGAAATCCCACAATATTTTAACCTGTTCATTTTTAATTAATTTTTACAACTATATCTTCCCACTAATTTACATTACTGGGTCATGATAATTTTTCATAATTGATCTGTGCAATCTTCTTGCATGAACTGAGTATATAACCTACTATTTCTTCTTTGCACAACCTGCACTTTGAATCATTTGATGATTTTTTTCAGTTCTGGTCTTGATTGCATTAGTTCAAATAGCTTGTTCCTGAGCAGCCAAAATCAATCCTTCAGTGTCTTTCTTTTTTTTTTTTATTCTTCCAATTGTAAGCTATTGCCAAGTTTTATCTTTTCCACTTTCCCCTCCATCTTTTAAAGAAATTGACCATGTAATGCTTTTCCTTGCCGGCATTTTGTTCATGTATTATTTTGGTATTCAATTTTTTTTTTCTGTACATTCAGTAAGTTTCAATTTTTATCTTGCATCAGTCCCCCTTTTTACTGATTTTTAAATAAACCAAATGCATGCTTCACAGTTTGTCCTAAAGTAAACCTCTGCCTCTATTTTTGCAGCGCAGGTATAATCTATCATTATCACTTCAGGGACATAATGTATAACAAATAGTCATCAGTTTTCTTGTTTTTCAATCCAAATTGTCCAGTTCAGTTTGTGTCCAGTTAATAATTCCAAGTGTGTGTCATATCACAGATTTAGCCCAGGTATTGATAACTTTGATGGTGTTTCCATCATTCAATTTTGTCTTTAGCATTTTTCTCATTCTTTCGATGTATTCTTTATTAATCGGTTTTTAAATTTATCCATGCTTGATATTAACAAAATAACAGAATAACAGAGTTGGAAGGGACCTAGTCCAACCCCCTGCTTAGGCAGGAAACCCTACACCACTTCAGAGAAATGGTTATCCAGTATCTTCTTAAAAACTTCTAGTGTTGGAGCATTCACAACTTCTGGAGGCAAGTTGTTCCACTCATTAATTGTTCTAACTGTCAGGAAATTTCTCCTTATTTCTAGGTTGCTTCTCTCCTTGATTAATTTCCACCCATTGCTTCTTGTCCTGCCCTCAGGTGCTTTGGAGAATAGTTTGACTCCCTCTTCTTTGTGGCAGCCCCTGAGATATTGGAACAGTGCTATTATGTCACCCCTAGTCCTTCTTTTCATTAAACTAGACATACCCAGTTCCTGCAACCTTTCTTCATACGTTTTAGCCTCCAGTACCCACCCTAATCATCTTTGTTGCTCTTCTCTGCACTCTTTCTAGAGTCTCCACAACTTTTTTATATTGTGGCGACCAAAACTGGATGCAGTATTCCAAATGTGGCCTTACCAAGGCATTATAAAGTGGTATTAACACTTCATGTGATCTTGATTCTATCCCTCTATTTATGCAGCCTAGAACTGTGTTGGCTTTTTTAGGCAGCTGCTGCACACTGCTGGCTCATATTTAAATGGTTGTCCACTAGGACTCCAAGATCCCTCTCTCAGTTACTACTATTGACAAAGGTACCACATATACTGTTCCTGTGCATTTTGTTTTTCTTGCCTTACTTTTTTCACCATTGAATTTAATTTTGTTAGATAGCACCCAATGTTCAGGTCTGTCAAGATTCTTCTGTATCTTAAGCCTATCTTTCAGAATATTGGCTAGTCCTGATAGCTTGGTGTCATCTTCAAATTTGATGAATTCCCCATCTATCCCCTTGTCCAAATCATTGATGAAGATGTTGAAGAGTACTGGGCCTAAAACAGAGCCTTGGGGGTACCCCACTGCATACTTCCATGTAGATGCAGTTCCATTGAAGACTACATGTTGAGTGCGGTTGGCCAGCCAGTTACGAATCCATCTGGTGGTGATGCTGTCTAACCCACATTTTTCTATTTTATCTAGTAGTAGGTTATAGTCTACTTATCAAATGCCTTACTGAAGTCCAAGTAAATTATATTGACACCATTCCTCTGGTCCACTAATTTTGTCACTTTATCAAAGAATGCAATAAGATTAGTCTGGCATGATCTGTTTTTGACAAACCCATGTTGACTTTTGGTTATTACTTTGTTTGCTTCTAGGTGTACCCTGATTCGTTGCTTATCTTTTCCAGAAACTTCCCTGGTATTGAGGTAAGCCTGATAGGTCTGTAGTTTCCTGGATCTATTTTTTTCCCTTTTTTGAAGATGGGAACTACATCAGCTCTTTTCCAGTCCTCTGGCAGTTCCCTGGCGCTCCAGGATCTTTGAAAGATATAGTTCAGTGGTTCTGAGATCTCGTCTGCCAGTTCCTTTAGAATCTTGGGGTGTAATCCATATGGTCCTGGTGATTTGAACTTGTCTAGGGTAGACAGGTGCTCACTTACCATTTTCTTCCCTATTTTAACTTGTGTTCCTAATCTAATGTCATCCAAGTGTAAAATGCCTAATTAGGTATAATTGTTACTATTATTATTTACCCTTGAACTAATGATACTAACATTCTAAATTTATTATCTAAATATGTAAAATTCAATTTAAAAGTAATCTTGAAAATTTCCTAAATACCAATAAAATATTGGATACTGATTAATTCTGTATGTGTTTTCTATTTAAATAATATAGCCAAATAAACTGGAAAAAAAATATTCTGCTGCATACAGTCTATTCTGTTGCAAGCCTGTCCTTTTGCAAATTAAAAGATAAGATGCAATTCTATATTGTGTCTAGGGAATAAGACAAGTGAATTATCCTGGTAGTCAAGTATATTTATGCATACATGTGAATGCAACGGTTGTGGTATGCTCATTGATGGCATGTATGAATACTTCTGTACGCAGAGTGTACTATGTTGCTGTATAATTTGGCTGAGAACTTACATGAAAAGGAATAGTCTGGCGTATGGGTATATTGTATTCAGCAATTAATAATAAAAGAACCTTAATATTGTTTAATATCACACATTTGGTTGCTATTATTCATAATTCAAAAGGTGAATTCTCCAGAAATATTGACCCACTTTTCCTGGATTTGAGATTATAACAGTCCTTGTGTGCCTCTGACAAAACCATTTAATCAACTCTGCTTGGAATGAAGGGGAAAAGGTGAATTCCGATTCCCTAAGATAAGGCAACAGAGGAAAACAATATTTAGTGGTAGCGGGATACGCCTGAAGTTTAGTAAGGTGAACAACAGCTTCTCAGCTGTTGTTCGTATAAGCAGCAATGCAGGCTACATTCTGAGTGACAGGACATGTGCTTTGTGGATCAGTGGCTGCAAGAATGTATGTATTTTCATGTAAATCATCTTTACAACCTTTCTTCAAAGATTTCAGGACATGTTTTAAGGTTAAAAACAAATGCAATATTATGAACTCATTTCTGAACTCATTATGAAGAAATGAAGGAATTAAACAGTACAGAGTGTTAAGCAGAGGTTACAATAGCATTTTTATCATATTTTTCACTGGTCTATCTTTCAGCTGGACACTCAGCAAGCCATAATAAACACCTCAATATGACAAATCTATAAACAACACAGGTAGCTAATATCACAAGCATTTTCAAAATAGAAAGGAAATATAAAATTCATGAAAT